TTATTCTGAGGTGTATGTGGTTGCCAAGACTGATATTGTCAAATATATGTTGTCCCGCCCTTTGTTAAGAGGCCGAATAGGTAAATGGATTCTGGCCTTGTCTGAGTTTAATTTGAAATATATACCACAGAGGGCTGTCAAAGGGCAGGCACTGGCAGACTTTCTTGCAGATCACCCATGTCTGGACGTGGAGGCAGATGAAGAAAAAGGGATTAACTTGTTTTCAATAAGTTTAGTTCCCTGGAAACTTATCTTTGACGGATCCAGTACAGAGACCATGTCTGGAGCTGGAGTTGTGGTAATCTCCCCGTCTGGGCTGAAAACACAGATGTCTTTCCAGCTGGATTTTGATTGCACAAATAATCAAGCAGAATATGAAGCTTTGATTATTGGTCTTGAGATGTTGGTGGAGCTTAAAGTATCCATGGTTGAGGTTATAGGGGACTCACAGCTAGTTTTGAAGCAATTGTCTGGTGAGTACAAATGTACTAGCCTTGCTTTAGCCCCTTATTTTGCCTTGGCTGTGCAATTGCTGGAAGAGTTTGATGATGTGTCTATCAGACACGTCCCTAGAGATCAGAACTATGAAGCTAATGAAATGGCCCAGATTGCTTCAGGTCTGCGAATTCCAGAAGGTGTAATGCAGAAAGTTGTAATAGTTGAAAAACGCAGTCTGCCATCAATTCATCAACGTGGCATGACTGTCTCCACTTGCAGCATTGATGTTACCCAGACGGACTGGTGCTTTCCAATTATTCAGTACCTTAAGGATCAAAGCATTAAGGTATCTAGGAAAACCAAAATGCAAGCCCTCAATTATGTCTTGATTGAGGATGTACTTTATAGGAGAGGCAATGATGAGCTACTGCTGCGTTGTCTGGGTCCAGATGAAAGTTTCCAGATGCTGTCTGATGTCCATGATGGAATTTGTGGTGCACACCAGGCTGGAATCAAGATGCGTTGGTTAATTCGCAGACATGGCTTCTTCTTGCCGTCTGTCTTAAAAGATTGTATTGGTTATGCTAAGGGCTGCAAATCTTGTCAGATCCATGGACCACTTCAAAGAGTTCCAGCCTCTGAACTTAATTTTATTGTGAAACCATGGCCATTTCGAGGCTGGGCTATTGATTTAATTGGTAAGGTGTATCCCCCTTCATCAAAAGGTCATTCATTTATTATAGTGGCAACGGATTATTTTACCAAATGGGTGGAGGCTAAACCAATGAAGAAGGTAGACCAATCTGATGTAATCAAGTTCATCAAAGAAGACATTATTCACATATTTGGTCTGCCAGAAACAGTTACAACAGACCAAGGTACAGTTTTTGTCAGCCATCAGGTGGAGGCATTTGCAAAGGAAATGGGTTTCCGTTTGTTAAATTCTACTCCTCATTATGCACAAGCTAATGGGCAAGCGGAGGCTTCTAACA